AGGCCAATATCCTTGATGAACACAGATGCAAAAAATCCTGAACAAAATACTAGCAAATCAGATCCAGCAATACATCAAAAAAATTATTCACCATGACCAAGTGGGATTCATCCCAGGGATGCAAGGCTGGTACAATATTCGCAAATCAATAAATGTGATACACCACATAAATAAATGAAGAATAAAAACCACATGATTATATCAATAGATGCTGAAAAAGCATTCGACAAAATCCAGCATTGATTTCTGATAAAAACACTCAGCAATGTGGAAATGGAGGGATCATATCTTGACATAATAAAGGCCATATATGAAAGACCTACAGCCAACATCATACTCAATGGGCAGAAACTAAAAGCATTTCCTTCAAGAACAGAAACAAGACAGGGATGCCCACTTTTGCCACTCTTATTTAACATAGTACTGGAAGTCCTAGCCACAGCAATCAGACAGGAAGAACAAATAAAAGGGATGCAAATGGGATAGGAGGAAGTGAAACTGTCATTATTTGCAGATGACATGATATTATACATAGAAAACCCTAAAGACTACATCAAAAATCTACTCGACATAATAAGTGAATTTGGCAAAGTAGCAGGATACAAAATTAACGTCAAGAAATCAATGGCATTCTTATACACCAATGATGAACTCACAGAAAGAGAAACTGAAAAAACAATCCCATTTACCATCACGGAAAAAAAATTAAGATACCTAGGAATAAACTTAACCAAAGAAGGACCTATTTGCAGAAAACTACAGGACATTGAAAAAAGAAATAGAGGAAGATATATAAAAAAAAGTGGAAGCACATACCTTGGATTGGAAGAATTAACATCATTAAAATGTCCATATTACCCAAAGCAATCTATAGATTCAATGTAATGCCCGTCAAAATGCCAATGACATATTTCACAGAACTAGAACAAATACTTCAAAAGTTCATATGGAACCAAAAAAGACCCCAAATAGCCACAACAGTCTTAAAAAAGAAGGACAAAGTCGGTGGGATCACAATACCAGATATCAGGTTATACTACAAAGCTACTGTAATCAAAACAACCTGTTACTGGCACAAAAACAGGCATATAGACCAGTGGAACAAAGAACTCAGCAATGGACCCAAGACTGTATGCTCAATTAATATTTGGCATAGGAGGCAAGAGCATACAATGGAGTAAAGACAGCTTCTTTAATAAATGGTGTTGGGGAAATTGGACAGCTACATGCAAAAAAAAAAAAATGAAACTAGACCATCAACTTACACCATACACAAAAATAAACTCAAAATGGATAAAAGACTTAAATGTGACCCGAGAATCCATAAAAATTCTAGAAGAAAATGTAGGCAACAAAATTTCAGACATCATATGCAGCAGAATTTTCACTGATACATCACCTAAAGCAACAGAAACAAAGGAAAAAATGAACACATGGGACTACATCAAACTCAAAAGCTTCTGCACAGCAAAAGAAACAACCATCAAAATGGAAAGGCAACCCACTGTATGGGAGAGCATAATTGCCAATGATACATCAGATAAGGGGTTAATTTCCAATATATATAGAGTGCTCAAACAACTCAACAAAAGGAAGACAAAGACCCCATTAAAAAATGGGCAGAGGATCTAAATAGACACCTCTCCAAACAGGACATACAAATGGCTAAGACACATATGAAGAAATGCTCAACATCACTAATCATCAGAGAGATGCAAATTAAAACAACAATGAGGTATCACCTCACACCTGTCAGAATGGCCGCCATCAACAAATCATCAAACAACAAGTGTTGGCGAGAGTGTGGAGAAAAGGGTACTCTAGTGCACTGCTGGTGGGAATGCAGACTGGTGCAGCCACTATGGAAAACAATATGGTGTTACCTCAAAAAATTTAAAATGGAACTGCCATTTGACCCAGTGATCCTACTTATAGGAATATACCCTAAGAAGCCTGAAACACCAATCAGAAAGAATATATGTACCCCCATGTTTGTAGCAGCACTATTTACAATAGCTAAGATCTGGAAACAGTCCAAGTGTCCATCAGTAGACGAATGAATAATAAAGGTGTGGTACATATACACAATGGAGTACTATGCAGCTGTAAGAAAGAAAAATCTCTTATCCTTTGAGACGACATGGAGGGACCTGGAAAGTATTATCCTAAGTGAAACAAGGCAAGCAGAAAAAGACAAATACCACATGATCTCACTTATTTGTGGAATATAATGAACATAACAGTCTGAGCAATAGGGTAGACCCTGAGACATGGAAGTAGGGTACAGACTGACAACCCTCAGAAAAGGCGGTGATGGGGGAGTGAAGAGATAAACCACAGAATTTATATGCATGTACGCATAACCAATGGACACAGACAATAAAGCCGGGGATGGGGCACGGGGATGGAGAGGAGGGTGTCAATGGGGAAAAAAAGTAGAAACATCTGTAACAAAAATAAAATAATAAAAAATAAAAATTAAAAAAAAATAAGACTGCTGAAATTGAAAAATATCAGTAAAAAGGTTTGAAGATAAAGTCAAGGAAATCTTTCAGAGGGAGAACAAAAAGAGATCAAGGGGTTGGAAAACAGATGGGAAAAGGTAAGAAATTAGAAGCTCCATCCAGAAGATGTAACATACAAATAACAAGAGAGTGAGAAATATCGACTTCTGAGGAAAAAGTTAATAAAAATAACAAAAGACAATTTTTGAAAAACTGAAAGATATAAATCTTCAGGCTAAAACAACTTGCAAAATACCCAGCATATGAATAGAAAAAGACTTACACTAGAGCGTATCATAACAGAATTCAAACTGTAGAGATAATCCTAAAAGCTAACTGAAGGGGAAAAAATAGATCACATACAAAGGTCTGAGGATGGAAGTAGCATCAGACTCCTTAACAACAGAAGTAACACAACAATGGAACAATGCCTTTAAAATTGAGTTTTAATAATGAATTTTATTCTGGAATTGTACATCATCCCAACTATATTGATCAAGATTTATTTTCACATATACAAGGATTCAAAAAATTTGCCTTCTATGTATGCTTTTGCCAAAAGCCACTGGGGTGGGGGGATGTACTCCAACTAAATTGAAAAAGACTGGGATTTAATAAACAACCCATCTAGTCTGGCTGGTGTGGCTCAGTGGTTGAGCGTCAACCCATATACCAAGAGGTCGCCGGTTCGATTCCCAGTCAGAGCATATGTCCAGATTGTGGGCCCGATCCCTAGTAGGGGGCATGCAGGAGGCAGCCAATCGATGTTCTCTCTCATCAATATTTCTATCTCTCCCTTTCATTTCCTCTCTAAGATCAATAAAGGGAAACAACACATCTAATGTACAACAGCAGTAAATAGAAATCTCAGGACAGTAGCAACTCAGTAGATCCAGAGAATAACTTCTCCAGATTGTTGCACAGGGGGTCTGGGAAGAAAGTTTGGAGTGGGGGATGGTAATGATATATTTGAGCATACATAAAATATATTATTACATGTTTGACAAAGATACTGGAGAATTCAACAACAACAAAAAAAGCAACAGGTAGGAGACAAAATAAAGACAAGGTAATTATCAACTCTGGGAAAAACAAAGGGCTATACTAGAAAGGAGCCATGGTCACATTTTACTGTTTGGTTTAGCAGTGAAAAACATTTGTTTAAATCATAATACTATTTTTTAAATATGTTTTTATTGATTTTTTGGAGAGAGAGGAAGAGCAAGAGAGAGAGAAACATCGATGTGAGGGAGAAACATCGATTGCCTGATTCCTGCACACCCTGTACTGGGGATCGAGCCTACAACCCAGGCATGTGTAAATAAAGTTAAATAACTTTATTAAGGGGATGAAGGGAACTAAACTGTGTGGAGACTGAGAGAGCTACCATATTTCCCCTCAAGTTACTACATACAATAAAATGTTATAAATGCATATTTAGGAATATAAGAGTAAATAACAGGGAAACAGCCAAAAGTGTTATTGTATAAAAACATAAATGTAATATATGAATATAAAGTATATACTTCTAGGGAGGAGGATGATGGGTAGGAAAGGCACTGCTATTTCCCTTTATAAGCCTAATCACGTTTGACTTTTCAAAATTATGAATATGTATTACATTGATTAAAATATAGGTTTAACAACTAAAATTAAAGTTAAAAATATCTATGACTGCAAGATATAATCCATATAAAGGAAACCTGGAGATTGGAAGAAGAAAGCTCAAATAAAAAACTGGCCACAAACCAAATGATCATAAAACACCGCAATTAAATCTTGCACGCTCTTGTAAAAGCATGCTTTCCCCCAACGTTGTAATCATAGCACTTCGAAAAACAACAGTCCTGCCACCAAATGGACTCTGGAGCATCTGCTAAATCTCCCAGTTTCTCTGATTTATCACAGGAACACAGTGGAAGTACTTCTTTTACCAGTATTTTCATACTGATGAAATCCTTAATTCCTACATTGTTCTTTTGGTCATTAGCACATACATTAAATACTTTGGTATAATCAAACTAATGGCCATTGTTTTTCACATTAATATTTATACACTTGATAAATAGCCAAACAAAACATAAAATTTCTCCTTCCAAGAAAGGCAACTGTTAAATTCTGAACAACAGAAATGGCTTTACACTTTTAAAAAATACATACCTATCCACTAACAGAATGTATTCTCCAGTTACACACCTAAAACTTTTACTAAAGTGATTCCAAAACCTCTCACACTTACCTTCGAAGCTTGGCTTTCATAGAAAAGCAAGCAACACACGAGATTCCATTAGTTGTAAGTCTTCCTAAACCAGGCATGTTTAGGCTTACAAATAAAGAAGGTAGTACTATTCAAACATACGTACTTCCCTTATGGATAACAACTGCACTTAGTATACACTTCATCAAACCCACTTACTCTCTTCAGCTTTACAAACAGACAAACTAATTACTAAAAACCAATTCAAACATGGCATCTGGGAAACATGGCTCGTTTACCTCTGTCGGTTTGTAGCAGTCTACGAGAGCTTCCTAGAACGAAATACACAGAGGGTAAGTTTTACTATTTTAAAATTCAATGTCATTTTAAAAGTGAAATTAAAATTATTTCATCTTTACAGTATCATTCTAAACATGCGAAATCAACATTTCATATTGCTTATCTAGAATACTTGATTTCAGTACCCACTGGTCATCTAAAGAAACAAAGAGTTGTATCCTTCGTATGCAGGAATGCCTTACACTCTCCAGAACACACACGTGCGCACACACACATGCACGCCTTTCCTCTGGGCTGCCACCTTGGTTAATAATAAACTGGATATACTTAACTGGGGCAGCCTGTGAACGACAGTGCCAGTCACACTCAATAATCACATGGAGAGTCAAGGGCCTGGCTGTGATTCAACCCCAGACCAGCCTGTCACACCTCTGCGGACTTCAGTGACCTCCCCTGGAACCGAAGGGGATGACCAGATGGTCGCTAAAGCCCCTCTCAAGTTTTCAATTTTAAGAAAACTTGATGTCGTTACATTCTGTATAGAACTGATGCCGGCTTTAATTTTTTCAAGTTTCACCTCCCAATTAAATTTACCAACAAGAAATAATCATTAAACTGAAACTGTTCACCACTCAAGGGACATTTGTAATTATTAACACATTAATATATTAAAAATGTTCCCTTTAATTGCCTTTAGTGATCATTTGCCACTGGTAATTACCAACAACCATTAACAGTAATTGTCAGTGAACATTAAAAACATTGGCAGGTCAAAGGTTGACTGGTTTTAGGAACTCCCAAATACAGATTTTAAATACAGATAGACTTGACCCCCTCTGGGAAGGCAAATAAACATTGCATTACTGTGGACTAAGGAAACATAAGGCATCTCAACATCCATGATTGTACCAGAATTGAGCATACTCTAATAAAACATATTTTATTAAACAGAATTATGTTGCATACAATCTGATGTAGAAATCAATGTCATGAATGATACAATCCACAACTGTAAGATCGCAGTCGTGGGCTTAGACACTCCAGTTCTAGCTCAGACCCTCTCCTTTTCATACAACTGTGGGACATAGCTTCCTTCTCTGGCAAATGGACCTCTGGAGGTGGAACCAGCTCTCCCTCCCAAGAAGATGAGACTGGAGAAACTCACTTCCAAAACGTGCTTCAGGAACTGACTACCATCAAGAACTACTTCATCATCAGAGAATCAGAGATGAACTTTAGGAGGCTGAACACTTAGCATCCCATTGCTTTCCCCTCTGCAAGCTCTGGAGACCCAAGTGGATTCAAGCATCTATGACCAGAAGGTTCCAGAGTTTAAAAGTTACTTACCCGTAATTTTAACGCTCTCTCTTCTTCACTGTCCGCATCAAGAAGATCATCAATGTCAATTTCTACATCTGGCATTTCTTCTTCCTGGGGGAAATGGAAAGACATTCTAATTAGTGAGAAGCTACATTGCACTGAACCAACTTAGGAGGGAAAGAAAAGAAGGAGGGGGAACAAAGGAGGATTAAGAGTCACAAAGCAGTAAAAAGTAAAATTTCAAAAATAACAATTTCCTATTTTCAGGCAGAAAACTGCAATTATACATACACAATGGGGATTCATAATTTAAAGAGTAGAGATCCTAAAAAATGGCGGCGCAGTGAATGGAAGTTACAAAGACCATCTCCCAGGACCAAACTGGAATTACAACAAAAATAAAGACAAATCGTCAGGAAAAAGCAACAGAAAAGCAGCTTGGAGGACCATATAATCAGGGACACTGACTTGATCCTGGTAGGATTGCAGAGGTGTGAGAGGGGGGCTGGGAGCCCACAGACAGCAGCAGCCTTAGCTGTGAGCAGCGCCCTCAGGTTAAACTCCCAGGCAGCTCCACAGCGCAGAGCTGGGACAGACAATAAAATAGCCACAGACACTCACTGTGGGATCTGGCAGAGGGAGGGAGGACTGGACTGGAATTGTGTGGGGACACTCGGGATTTGGAGGGCTCTCAGAGCTTTTGCTGAGTTGCAGCCACTCAGGACAGTGGTCATCTTACTCCTTCCCAGGGCCCTGGGGAGAGGCAGTGGACCCTCCCTTGGAGATTCAACCCCACCCGGTGGCCATTGAAATGCAAACTGAGGCTCATTAACAACCAGCATCTGCCCCACCCTCGGGAAATCCCCTTACCCTGAACACCTGAGGGAGTTTTTCATTCAAATGAGACTAAACTATTTCTGGGCTTGCAACTATGCCCAGGAAACTAAGACTTGACAGTGGTGTTTAATGTGGGTTCTCCCACACTCATCCAAACCCAGAAGAGGAAGCCACAAACAGCAGAACACCAATACCCACAGGGAAAATTTGGCAGGCTCTAAAGCACACTGAGATAGCCAAAATGGTGAAACAAAGAAACAAATACCAAATGAAAGAACAAGAGACCTCTACCAAAGATGAGATAAATGAGGTGCACTTAAGCAAGTTAACAGAACTAGAATTCAGAGCCATGATCTTGAGGAAGCTCAACAGTATGTGTAAGGAAATGAGCACCATGAGTAAAGACATAGAAATGTTGAAAATCAACCAGTTGGAATTTAAAACCACCAAGAAGAAATGAAGAATGACATAGCAGAAATAAAGAACACATTGGAAGGTCTAAATAGCAGAGTAGAGGAAGTGGAGGACTGGATCAGTGAATTAGAAGACAGGGTAGAAAAAATCAACCAATCAGAAAACCAAAAGGAAAAAAACAATTAAAAAACAGGAAGACAGCTTAAAAGAACTGTGGGACAACTGGAAATGTAATAATATTCACATCATAGGCGTCCCCAAAGAAGAAGAAAATGAGCAAGGGTTAGAAAATATATTTGAAAAAATAGTGACAGAAAACTTTCCTAACTTGGTGAAGGAAGAAGGCATTCAAGTTCAAGAAGCACAGAGAGCCCCAACTAACAAGAACCCAAACAGGCCCATACCAAGACACATAGTAATTAAAATGCCAAAAATTAAAGACAAACAGAGAATCCTAAATGCAGCAAGAGATAAGCAACAGGTTACCTACAAAGGAAACCCCATAAGGCTCTCAGCTGACTTCTCAACAGAAACACTACAGGCCAGAAGGGAATGGCATGAGATAATCAAGGTCATGAAAAACAAGGATCTGAATCCAAGACTACTCTACCCAGCAAAGCTATCATTCAAAATAGAAGGTCAAATAAAGAGCTTCCCAGACAAAAAAAAAGGCTAAGGGAATACATTAGCACTAAACTAGCACTGCAAGAAATGTTAAAAGGACTGCTGTAATTAGCAGGGGAAATGGGAAGAAAAATATAACCACACTGAACAAAAATGGCAATAAATAAGTACATATTAATAATCACCTTCAATGTGAATGGACTGAATGCTCTGATAAAAAGACACAGAGTAGCTGACTGGAGAAGAAAGCATGACTCATCTATATGTTGTTTATAAGAGACCCACCTCACGACAAAAGACTCACATAGGTTGAAAGTAAAGAGATGGAAAAAAATCTTCCAAGCAAATGGAAAGGAAAAAAAAGCTGGGGTAGCAATACTCCTATCAGATATAATAGATTTCAAAATGAAGGCCATTACTAGAAACAAAGAAGGCCACTGCATAATATTGAAAGGATCTATCCAACAGGAAGATATAACCTTGATAAACATATATGCACCCAATATAGGAGCACCAGCATATATTAAATATCTTCTGGAAGACTTCAAAGGAGAAATCTATAGCAATACAAACTTGCAGGGGATGTCAACACCCCGCTGACATCCCTGGATAGATCCTCTAGACAAAAAATTAACAAGGAAACAGAGACTCTAAATGAAGCACTAGACCAAATGGATTTAATAGATATCTACAGAGAATTACACCCCAAAACTACAGAATTCACACTCTTCTCAAGTGCACATGGGACATTCTCAAAGATAGACCACATGTTAGGAAACAAAGTCTCTACAAGTTCAAGAAGATTGAAATAATATCAAGCATTTTCTCAGATCACAATGGCATGAAACTAGAAATCATCTGCAACAGAACATGCAAAGACATTGGAACACATGGAGGCTGAATAGCATGTTATTAAACAATGAATGGGTTAGCATCATGGCAAAAAAATTAAGATACCTAGGAATAAACTTAACCAAAGAAGTAAAGGACCTATTTGCAGAAAACTATAGGTCACTGAAAAAAGAAATAGAGTAAGATATAAAATAGTGGAAGCACATGCCTTGTTCATAGATTGGAAGAATTAACATAATTAAAATGTCTATACTACCAAAAGCAATCTATAGATTCAATGCAATCCCCATCAAAATACCAACGACATACTTCACAGAACTAGAACAAATACTTCAAAAGTTCATATGGAACCAAAAAAAACCCCGATTAGTCACAACAATCTTGAAAAAGAAGAACAAAGTAGGAGGGATCACATTACCAGATTTCAGGTTATACTACACAGTCACTGTAATCAAAACAGCCTGGTACTGGCACAAGAACAGGCAGATAGAACAGTGGAACAGAACAGAGAACCCATAAATGGACCCAAGGCAATATGCTCAATTAATATTTGACAAAGTTGGCAAGAGCATACAGTGGAGTAAAGACAGCTTCTTTAATAAATGGTGTTGGGAAAATAGGACAGCTACATGCAAAAAAATGAAACTAGACCATCAACTTACACCATATACAAGAATAAACTCAAAATGGATAAAAGACTTAAATGTGACTGATGAATCCATGAAAATCCTAGAAGAAAATGTAGGTAACAACATTTTGGACATCATACGCAGCAGAATTTTCACTGATACATCACCTAAGGCAACAGAAACAAAGGAAAAAATGAACACATGGGACTACATCAAACTCAAAAGCTTCTGCACAGCAAAAGATACATCATCAAAATGAAAAGGCTACCCACTGTATGGGAGAGCATAACTGCCAATGATATATCAGATAAGGGGTTAATTTCAAAAATATATAGAGTGCTCATACAACTCAACAAAAGGAAGACAAAGAACCCAATTAAAAAGTGGGCAGAGGAACTAAATAGAAACCTCTCCAAACAGGACATACAAATGGCTAAGACACATATGAAGAAATGCTCAACATCACTAATCATCAGAGAGATGCAAATTAAAACAACAATGAGGTATCACCTCACACCTGTCAGAATGGCCGCCATCAACAAATCATCAAACAACAAGTGTTGGCGAGGGTATGGAGAAAAGGGGACTCTAGTACACTGCTGGTGGGAATGCAGACTGGTGCAGCCACTATGGAAAACAATATGGTGTTACCTCAAAAAATTTAAAATGGAACTGCCATTTGACCCTGTGATACCACTTTTAGGAATATACCCTAAGAAGCCTGAAACACCAATCAGAAAGAATATATGAATCCCCATGTTAGTAGCATCACTATTTATAATAGCTAAGGTCTGGAAACAGCCCAAATGTCCATCAGTAGACGAATGGATAAAAACGGTGTGGTACATATACACAATGGAGTACTATGCAGCTGTAGGAAAGAAAGATCTCTTATCCTTTGAGACAACATGGAGGGACCTGGAAAGTATTATCCTACGCAAAACAAGCCAAACAGAGAAATACAGGTATCATATGATCTCACTTATTTGTGGAATATAACAAACATAAGAGTCTGAGGAATGGGGTAGTCCCAGAGACGTGGTGGTGGGATACAGACTGACAATCCCCAGAACAGGGGGTGGTTGGGGAGAGATAAACCAGAGAACTTATATGCATGTATGCATGAACAATGGACATGGACAGCAAAGCTGGGGACACGGTGGGGAGGGTGGGGGAGGAGGGAATCAGTGGGGGAAAAAGGAGAAACATCTGTAAGAAAAATAAATTAATTAAAAAAAAAAAAGAAAGAATAGAATTGTGGTTTCCTACCCAATGACTACCGTTCTCTTGATGACTAACAGATCTTTGATCTTCACTGGGGTTAACAACTTTGTATATGATTCTGATTCTGGGAAAAACTCATTTTATTACACATTTCTAAGGTGGGGCATTTGGATGAGCTGCAGTCCCAGTTACTGACTCAAGAGGAGACTCGTGCCCTGGCCAGTTTGGCTCAGCGGTTAGAATGTTGGCCTGGCCTGTGGTCCAGAGAGATCCGGGGTTCGGTTCCCACTAAGGGCAAGTACCTCGGTTGCAGTTTGTCCCCAGCCCCAGTTGGGGTCATGTGGGTGGCAAGGAGTCAGTGTGTCTCTCTCATGTTGATGTTTCTTTCTCTCTCTTCCTCCCGTTCTCCCTCCTGCTCTATCTGAACATAAATGCAAAAATATCCTTGGGTGAGGATTAATAAAAGAAGACGACGACTTGTGACCCAACTGAGACCAGTGAGAGGTTCTGGGAAGAAACCCTTTTCCAGCA